GAGATAAGGAAATGCATTGTGTCCTGCAGCCTTTGGAGCGGATGCAGTCCTGCCCACACCTTCCTTTCAGCCAGTGAAACCCATTTCAGAATTCCGACCTGCAGAACTAAAGTCATAAGTCTGTGTTGCTTAAGCCACACTGTGTTTGTGTTCATTTGTTGCAATAGTAAAGGAGACTAATACGTCATTCTAACACCATTCTGAGCTTTTGAGGCAGGCTGATGGAAAACGTGTGACTGTGGCTCCCCAGTACTTTTTTTTTTTTAGAAAAGTACTGACCCTGGGAGCCTAATAACCCAGGCACCTCATTTGCTGTGAGCAACTCCCCACCCCATGGCCAGCAAAATCTGCTTAGTCCTCAAGACAAGGGGCTTCTGGCTGTTCACAGAGGTTGATGATTTCCTTGATTATCTTTAGGTTATTCTGTCCTCTCCCTTCCCAGAGAAAACCCAGTCGTATTCAAGTGAGCATTGGGGAAAATATTCATTCATTAATTTGCTTCTTAACGTTTCTGGGGGGCACTGACCTCTTTGAGATTTTGTTGACAATGGGATTTTAGCCCCCGTGAAAATACATATCAAAAATTTGCATGCAGTTTTGGCCAGGTGCAGTGGTTCATGCCTGTAATCCCAGCACTTTGGAAGGCCGAGGTGGGCAGATCACTTGAGGTCAGGAGTTCAAGACTAGACTGGCAACATGGCAAAACTCCATCTCTACTAAAACTACAGAAAATAGCTGGATATGATGGCACATGCCTGTAATCCCAGCTACTTGGGTGGCTGAGGCAGAAGAATCGCTTGAATCCAGGAGGCAGAGGTTGCAGTGAACCAAGATCTCACCACTGCACTGCAGCCTGGGCAACACAGCGAGACTGTGTTAAAAAAAAAAAAAAAAGGCATATAATTTTGAATACAGTTTTATATACAGATTCCCCCAGGAGCTATCTCTTGAAGCTCCAGTGGCTGCCAGGGGCTTCCTCTATCACCCCAGTGAAGAGCCCTGTACACATGAACGCACATTGAGGCTGATGAATGACTGTTTTCCTAGTGAGTCTCCTCACGGTCTGCCCGGTCCTTAAACCATATTCGGTGGATCCTCGTTATTTGTGGATTCCATATTTGTAAATTCACCTGCTCTCTAGAATTTGTTCATCACCCCAAGATCAGTACTCACGGACACCAGCAGAGTGGCGAAACTGTGTGACCCGATGGGGCTGTTCCAGCTGAAAAGGACGCTCTGCCATCTCGTTTCAGTCTCGGTGTAAACACCCAGAGGTGGTTTTCATGATTTGTTTTGTGCCGTGTTTTTCATTTTTGGTGCTTTTTCTTCGTAGTTTCACCGTTTGAAAGTGCTGTCTAGCGTTTCCAAGTGCAAGAAGGCAGTGATGTGCCTTATGGGGAAAATATGTGTGTCTGATAAACTGTATTCGGGTTCGCATTCTTGTGCCACTGGTTCCGTGTTAACAAATCAGCGCTGCACAGATGATTCCTGACTTACGACTGTTCGTTCCAGTTATGATTTTTTGACTTCACAACAGTGTGAAAGCAATAGTCCTTCAGGAGAAACCACCCTCAGGTACCCGTGAGACCATTCTGTTTTTCACCTTCAGCACAATATTCTATAACTCTCATGAGACATTCAACCCTCTGTCAGAAAGTAGGCTTTGTATTTCATGATTTTGCCCAGGTGTGGGCTAATGTAAGTGTTCTGTGTATGTGGAAGGCAGGAGAGCTACGGTGTTTGGTAGGTTAGGTGTATTTAATGCATTTTCAACTTAGGATATGTTCAACCTACCTTGGGTTTATCAGGATATGACCCCATCGTAAGTTGAGAAGCATCTATTTATTCAGTAAGGTGTCTTTTAAATAGAAAAACACGTATAACAAGTTTATGTATTGATTGACAAAAATATTGCAACCCGAGGCTTTCAGGAACATAACTGCATTTCCTCTAGGAGCGCTGCTTGCCTCAGTATCTACTGGTAACTCTATGGAATATAGTTATGGTGAGTAATGGGAATTGAGTGTATTTTCAAGTTGCTGGCCCCTCCAGCTACACTGATAATCAGTCCTGCTCTTTAAATCACGTCTTACCATCAGTCCTACCTAGAGAAATGGAGGAGGGAGGGTCTGTGGTCTTAAGGTCTGTCCCAACTCTCTGCCCCACCAGCTGCATCCTGAGCACCAGCCTGGACAGAGCCGTCTGTTTGGTGGGTGGTAGCAGGTCGTGTTGTGAGGCTCTGGTGCCTGCCTTCTGGCCTCCTGCACTTGCTAGAGGAGAACAAGGCGGGAGCAGCCAGTCCATGCTGGCTCCTGAGAGAGGCAGGTCTAGGGCTGCCAGCACCCGCTCTTGGGGGGCTGAGGGTGGAAAGAGCTTCAGAGGGGAGGATGCGACTGTCAGAATGACCGAATTTCCAATCCCAGTCTGGACATGTGGTCTGATGAGGACAAGTGCCATTGAAGAAGGGGATGGGGATGGTCGAGAGGAACCAGGAAATCGAGTCTGTCCTGGAAAATGTGGCATGGTGGATCTTTTGAATTGGGGTGTCAGGGTGCATGTCAGCTAAAGTGAGGTTCACCTGCTTCAAATGTTCGTCCAGGCTTTCTCCACTCGCCTCACAGAGTCGACATTGTTAGAGACAGCAGGAAGTGGTGAAAGTCAGTTCACAGCCCGTCTGCTCTGAGGGCTTGCTGTGAGGGTCTGATGTTTTCTGTCATTTTCTCCTAACATTTATCTTTGGGATCTTAGTTCCTAGTTGAAATTCCTTAACTGTGGGAGTCGAGGCTAAGAATTCTTTCCTGTTGCTTAAGAGAATGAGGCAGAGAAGGAACTGGCTGCCCCTTTTCTTACTTCCATGATGACATAGAAATGGCTCCTTCCAGCCCAAGGGTTCTTGTGGGGCCCAAGGCTCCTCAAGGGCCCTGTGCATAGGATTTGAGGATTGGTTTTCTTAGGTGGGGAGAAAAGTCTGTGTTTATTTTTATAAATCCTACCTGAAATGGAGCACTTCTGGCTGGGCACGTTGGCTCACGCCTGTAATCCCAGCACTTTGGGAGGCCGACGCAGGCAGATCACGAGGTCAGGAGATGGAGAATATCCTGGCCAATATGCTGAAACCCCGTCTCTACTAAAAATACAAAAATTAGCCGGGCGTGGTGGCATGCGCCTGTAGTCGCAGCTACTCGGGAGGCTGAAGCAGAAGAATGGCTTGAACCTGAGAGGCAGAGGTTGCAGTGAGCCGAGATTGTGCCACTGCTCTCCAGCCTGGTAACAAAGACTGAGACTTCGTCTCCAAAAAAAAGAAAGAAAGAAAGGGGAAGGGGAGAGAGAGAGAGAGACAGACAGACAGAAAGAGACAGAGACAGAGACAGGAAGAAAGAAGAAAGAAAGAGAGAAAGAAAAAGAATGTATCACTTCCTGACTGTCACCAGTGTGGGTTGGCCGCATGTCTGACTCTGTCACCAGTTGCGGTTACAGGTATCGTCACATTACATTAGCTGTTTCACATATTTTGAAATTGTATTTGTTCTCATCACTAGTTTTAAATTAAGGTGGTTAATACACTCGACTGGGTTTTGTTATTTAATATGCTGATAAGGCAAATATATTGCTATACTATAATGTTTTAAAAAATATTTTGATAACTAGATTTCCATAAGCTTGGTATTCTTTGTGATCACATTTATTTTGTTGATTTTTATAACAGCTTTATTGAGATAATTTCCATACCACACAACTTACTCATTGAAGTGTACAACTCCATGTTTTTAAAGTATATTTTCAGGGTTTTGCAACCACCACCATCACCAAAATCTAATTTTAGAACATTTTTGTGCCCCTTAAAAGAGACCTCATACTCATTAGCAGTTATCCACATCCCGCCTTTCTCTCCTCTCAGCCCCTGGCAACCAGAACATCTACTGTCTCTCCAGAAATATGCCGCTTCTGGGCATCTCATCTAAATGGAGTCTTTCTGAGACAGAGTATCGCTCTGTCGCCCAGGCTGGAGTGCAGTGGTGTGGTCTCAGCTCACTGCAACCGCCGCCTCCTGGGTTCAAGCATTTCTCCTGCCTCAGCCTCCCAAGTAGCTGGGATTACAGGCACCCACTACCACGCTAATTTTTGTATTTTTAGTAGAGACAGGGTTTCACCATGTTGCCCAGGCTGGTCTTGAACTTCTGGCCTTAGGAGATCCATCCACCTTGTCCTCCCAGAGTGCTGGGGTTACAGGCGTGAGCCACTGTGCCCGGCCAAAATGGAATCTTTCTGAGGTCTTTTGTGACTTTTTTTTTCATGTAGCATAATGTTTTCAAGATTCATCTCTGCTTGTATTTTGTTCTGTGCTCTTAAAATACCATTCTGAGAAGGAGTCCAAGGGCCTGCCCATCATGCCCAGAGGGGCCTGTGGCATCATTGGAGAGGTTAGGGTTCCCTGCGCCTAACAGTTCTTCCCTCTGTCAGTTTTGCTTTAAAACTAGTCCATGCCTTGGCTTGGGCATGAGCAGTCACTGCCAAAGACCTGGTGGGCAAGGCATGCAGCTTACCTTGGGATGGGTTGGACCCAGGCCCTGGGCACTCAGAGGTACCCAGGCACCTCTGCCCAGCCTCTCCAGGTTACCACTTCCAAAGGTGCCTTGGGTAGGTGGGCACCTCCAGGATGTAACCTCTAGTGGATGATACCTGTGGAGAGGGACAGCAAGGTAGAGTCATAAGGCCCCCAGTATCTGCCCCAGCAAGACACCAGGACCCCAGCTCCTCCAGCCCCCAGGAAGCTGTCAGCACTTCCAGAGAGCAAGCTGTTCGTGGGAAGGTCTGAGTCCTTGCAGCTCTGTGATTCGCGAATCACAAAACCTCCACACTTGGTGTTTGTGGGCCGAGCTATTGTCTTTGTGTTTTCTTTTTGGAGTGGGTGGGAAGCCAGCTTGGCAAGCCGGGTGTGAATGAACGAGAATGAGCCCGAGACACTCACGGATGCCTTCTGTGATGTGTTTCTCCCCCAGCTCCGGAAGAAAAGGAAGTCATTAAAGGACAGTATGGCAAGCTCACGGACGCGTACGGCTGCCTGGGGGAGCTCAGGCTGAAATCTGGTGAGTAGCCCTGGCTGCAGCAGCAGGCGCCAGGCTCCCTGGTGGGCAGGAGTGTCTGCGTCTGGAGGGGCCTCGGTGCAGGCGTTCTGTTTGACTGCTCTTCTCTTTTAAGATGTTTCTTTATGCCTTGGAACCTGCTCCTCCATGCAGGTGGGGAGGTCAAGGTGAGTGTTGCCTGGTTGTCACCTGCCTGTGCTGCGGAGCAGGGTGGGAGCCCCACCCTGCTAGGGAAGCTCATCTTCATTGCTTGCTGGTGAGGGTGTAAGTGTTTCCAAAGTCTGGTCTGGGGTTTCTGCCCAGGGCATTGTCTGCAGTACTCTAGAAGGTGTGCCAAGGTGGGTGGGTGAGGATAGGGACCATGGCAGATGCTGGGCAGGCACACAGGTGGGCTGGGAGTTGTCAGCAGGAGAGAAAAGCCGCCGATGTGTGACTGTCACTCAGTGTGGGGTGGGAGGGAGAGGAAGGGGAGAGAACTTCCAGGAAGACATGGGCATCTCTATTCACTCGGAGAGACTCAAGGGCAAGCCAGGGTGGCCGGCTGTCATAGGTAGTCACAGCCAGCCTCGAGTTCCTAGAGCCGGGAGCCCTGGGGCTCTTGCTTCCACTGCCTGTTTCCATCCTCCTCCCTCAGGCCCCACCTCGGTAACTGTGACCTGGCTGTGGACGTCTCCTGTGACTTCTGGGGCTGAGACAGGAGCCCAGTCGCATTCCTGATTCTCGGTCCCACCTGGTTGAGATGGGAATGGCTGTATGGATTGTTGGGATTCGGGCTTTCCGTGGGCTGAGCACGCATCTCCCTCCGCTGCTCACGGCAGCTGTTACCGGAGACTGGGGCTTTTTAAAGCTGCCGGAAAAGCACTGTTCCTTGGTCATTCCTTTCCTGGGGTCTCTTCTCTCATGGAATATTTTGTCCTGAACTATGACAATTACAGTAATCATTTCCAAATAGCACTTAGGAAAAAGACATGGTACCCACATGACAAAGTGCATTTATGAAATGTCTGTTTCGTGCCAAGAGCTAGACTTACATTCACTTATTTAATCCTGAAATAGGCTACTGTACTGATGCATCTTTGTCCCTGTTTACAGTAAAGGGAACAGGCTCAGAAGCTTCACGTAACTTGCCTTCAGTCAGAAGCTTAGCTGGGGTTCCAACTGCCTCCAAGCGCTTGCTTTTTCCATGAAAATGTGCAGGCTGCTGAGGGTTTTCTGCAGGATTTTCAGTTCTGCAGAAAATCTCCGTGGACCTCACCTTCCATGGTGGTAACCTGTGTGGCGCTCACTTAGGAATTTGTCACTTAGGAGTCACACAGAGTCAGGCATACAATTGGTGTCACATAGGTGGAAGTCACACAGTTGGAGTGGTGCTCGCTTAGGAATTTGTTAACGTGGCTCCCTCAGGCACCTATGGGGTAGGTGCTGTGCTCACCCTGCCTTGCAGATGTGGTAGGGATGCTGCGTTCCATCCATGCTGATGCCCTTTTTTCCACATGGTGGCATCTGGGCCCCCAGGATGCCCCCCAGTCTTGGCATCTTTCAGTTACAGTTGGCAGCTACTTTTGGTCCATACATGAATGACTCATTTCACATCTGATGGGGACTGGGATTGAAGGAATGACAGTAACTGGCCCAAGGTCATGCCATTCTCGATTGGTGACCTGGGTTTTAAACTCATGCCTTGTGGCAGCAGGGACTGCTTTCAAGCACCAGGCTGTGCTCCTTTCTGAAAGGGACAGGTGGCTGGGCTGACAAGGGGGACAGGAAGTGCTGTCCCTTCCCCCATCCCAGGGAAGAAGTGGCCTAGGCGAGGCCTCCCTGCCTTCAGCCAGTCGCCGCCACCCCACACCCCACAGAAGTGAGTGAGGCTCCTTGTGGGTCACGTGAGACCAGCCCAGCTTGGAGGCTTTGGGTGCCCCCAGCCCCAGCCCACCTGTGAGAGTCACCCTCCGGGGTGGGTTGCAGTGTCTCTGAGTGTGGTGCGTATGAGTTTGACTTTTGGGATGACGGGATAATTTGGCCTGTTTTCAACACATTCTGGAAAGTGCCCTAAGGCATCTGAAGGATGGAAGGATTGGGCTTTAAATCAAGTTTTTCCAGTCCCCATTGGCTGCCTTAGGAGCGTTTCAGTTGAACTTGATTTTCTTTTCCCCCGTAAGTCCCTGAGTCAGAACTGTGGTCTGTTTTCTTTTGTGTTCAGTGGTTGAGCATGTTAGGTAGCACAGAGTGTAGCTGCAGTGGTGTGACTCCACCTGTGTGACTCCAGTGGTGTGACTCCACCTGTGTGACTCCAGTGGTGTGACTCCACCTGTGTGACTCCAGTGGTGTGACTCTACCTGTGTGACTCCAGTGGTGTGACTCCAGTGGTGTGACTCTACCTGTGTGACTCCAGTGGTGTGACTCCACCTGTGTGACTCCAGTGGTGTGACTCTACCTGTGTGACTCCAGTGGTGTGACTCCAACGTGTGACTCCAGTGGTGTGACTCCACCTGTGTGACTCCAGTGGTGTGACTCCAACGTGTGACTCCAGTGGTGTGACTCCACCTGTGTGACTCCAGTGGTGTGACTCCACCTGTGTGACTCCAATGGTGTGACTCTACCTGTGTGACTCCGGTGGTGTGACTCTACCTGTGTGACTCCAGTGGTGTGACTCCAACGTGTGACTCCAGTGGTGTGACTCCACCTGTGTGACTCCAGTGGTGTGACTCCACCTGTGTGACTCCAATGGTGTGACTCTACCTGTGTGACTCCGGTGGTGTGACTCTACCTGTGTGACTCCAGTGGTGTGACTCCAACGTGTGACTGATTCCACCTGTGTGACTCCAACGTGTGACTGATTCCACCTGTGTGACTCCAGTGGTGTGACTCTATCTGTGTGACCCCAGTGGTGTGACTCCAACGTGTGACTGATTCCACCTCTGTGACTCCAGTGGTGTGACTCCAACGTGTGACTGATTCCACCTGTGCGACTCCAATGTGTGACTGATTCCACCTGTGTGACTCCAGTGGTGTGACTCTATCTGTGTGACTCCAGTGGTGTGACTCTATCTGTGTGACTCCAGTGGTGTGACTCCAACGTGTGACTGATTCCACCTGTGTGACTCCAACGTGTGACTGATTCCACCTGTGTGACTCCAACGTGTGACTGATTCCACCTGTGTGACTCCAGTGGTGTGACTCCAACGTGTGACTGATTCCACCTGTGTGACTCCAGTGGTGTGACTCCAATGGCGTGAATCCATTGTGTGACTCCAATTGTGTGGCGAACTACAACCATGTAACTGACTCCAACTGTGTGACCAACTCCACCTGTGTGGCTCCAACTGTGTGATTGACTTCAACTGTGTGACCCCAATTGTGTGACTGACTCTGTGTGACTCCAATTGTGTGACTGATTTCAACGGCGTGGTTATCTCCACTGTTGACTGACTCCAACTGTGTGACCTCCACCTGTGTGACACCAATTGTATGAGTGACTCTGTGTGACTTCAACTGTGACTCCACCTGTGTGACTTCAGCTGTGTGACTGACTCTGTGTGACTCCAATTGTGTGACTGATTTCAGCAGCGTGGCTAACTCCACTGTGGACTCACTCCCCCTTCGTGACCTCAGCTGTGTGACTCCCACTTTCCGTTGCCATGAAGACCACCTGCTGAGTCGGGAGTGGGCCTCCCTTTCAATGTTTTTGGCTAAGGATCTCTATGCAAAGAGGCTTCCCCACAGGCTCTTAATTTGGACAAGTTTTCCCTTAGTTTGGGACAGACTTCAATCTACCCAAATTAGCCTTTTACATTAGAAACTGAGAAACATGCACAAAAATTCATAAAAGCTTTTTTCCAGGTTCCAAGGTTTTTGTGGAAAGCACAAAGTCCCCCCTTCCTTCCTGAAATGCCAACAGGAAGGGGTTGGAGCTCCCGTGATTAGCCAGGGAGTCAGGCTTCCTGAAGTTTACACAATACAAAGCATAAAAAGTGAGAATGTAAGAGAAAACAAAAACTTATCCCAGTGATTATAGTGATTTAAATTCTCTTGAACCTGAGCTATCAAGGCCTCCCTGTATCATAGCCTCAAGGGACTCCATTCCTATCCCAGACTATAATGAATTGTGTCTCCTGGAGTTGTGCAGTGCACAACCTGTGAGGCTGTACACGACAGCCCATACATTCTCTAGTAGACAGCCCTCTTGCATTCTAGTTCCCGCTTCACCGCTGATCTGCATTTAATCTCTCTGGGGCTGTTTTCCCATCTGTAAACCCAGGAAAACTGCCTCAGCTCTATCTTACCTAGTTCTTAGGAGGTCCACATGAGTGATACACATGGTAGCACTGAAGAGTGTGGCGTGCTCCTTCAACACCAGCCAGGTTGACCATGGGCAGTTCCTTAGAGTGTGGCCTGGGGACACTGCCACCACTGAGAAGCTCCGCTGTCTCTCTTCTGTCCCTGGGAGAGCTGGAGGGAGGAGGGGCCTGGTGGGAGGGGCCTGGCCTACAGGGCTGAGGCTGTACAGGTGTGAGTTGAGGGCCGGCTGTGTGGCCTCGGGGTGTGGACGCCTGGTGGGCAGCTCCTCTGCACAGGCCAGCAGAGGCCAGTTTCATGGGCAGTCACTTCAGAAGGAGAATTTTCTGAAGAGGAGACTTTAAGCTGTGAGTGTTTTGGGATGCAGTGTTCTCTAGCAAGTCTTGAAGCGACTGCCCTTTGTCAGTCTTAGATTAATTTATTTTAATTCCTGTGCCCAGTGATGGGATAGTACCAAGATAGTTGACACCCAGCTCCCTGGAGGGGGGCGGGGGGAAGCTCTGGGATGATGCAGCATTTGCCAATTTCCAAGGTGCAAATTCACTGGCCAGGGCTGATTTCAGGTTCCCAGAGTGGAGCTGGGGAAGGATCCGCACCAGGGGTGCTGACTGTGGGTGTTCACGGCTGCAGCCTCCTCTGCCTGCGCCACTCTCATGTTCTGCAGAGGGGAGGCGGGAGAGGGCCCTGGGGACCACACCACGTGGGTA